TGTGCACCCCGGAGAATCATGGAAACGTTATTCAAACTCCCAGAACCACTGAGTCTACATAGCAGCCAACTGGAAAAGGTTTATCCAGAAGTTTGATTTATTTATGACAGTCACAGGTTTGGACAAAAAGGACGAGGTAATAGTATATTACATACCGAGTAGGGAAGTGTTTCATTACAGAAATGAAAACTTCCCTTCGAGGTTTGTATACTATTTTATTTGCAAGCACACCATTAATTATGATTAGTCAATCAATTTTTTTAATATCAAAAAAATAAAACAAACATGCCAAAATGTGTCATTCACTGCTTTGACGTTTTTACCTGACATGTTTTCATTGTTGCCAGTAAAGGTAAATAAATTAGAGTGAGGGAAATCGGTGAGGGAAGTCGAATAGGGAAATCGGTGAGGGAAATCGAAGAGGGAACTGACACAGGTAAAGTGTCACTTCCAAATTTTTAAAAAGTCAGTAATGACAAGATTACATATATGATTGCAAATAAAAAAAGTTGCTGTATTTTCAAGTATAATTGGTGAGGAAGGATTGGACATATACAATTCCTTCACACTGACTGCGACTGAAAAAGCCTCATTGACGTCTATAAGAGACAAATTTGAAGCCCATTATGCCCCGTTAAAAAATTTGATTTTTGAGAGATATGTTTTCAACTCGATAGTTCAAAACGAAGGTCCGAGTTTTGATTAAGGAATTAGGAATTTCAGTTAAGCCAACACAATACAAGGACCCAGATGATATGGTGAGAGACCGAATTATGTTAGCAATATCAGATAAATCAACACAAGAAAGACTTCTAAGAGAGCCGAAACTAACCTTGCAAAAAGCAGTGGATCAATGTAGGGCTGTAGAAGCAAGCAAGTCCCAAGCTCAGGCTCTAGCAAATGAAGCCTCTGTAAGTGCCATCAGACTCAGGAAAGGTTCGAACAGAACTAATGTGTCTTATGGTCAGCAGGCGAAATTCAAATGCAGTTTTTGTAGCTACAAACATGTTAGAGGCAAATGCCTTGCATATGGTGAATTTTGTAATAAATGCCAAGGAAGAAACCACTTTGCTAATCTGTGCAAAAAGAAGAAGTCTAGGAGAGAAGCGAATGAAAATAGAAGTCAACGGAAAAAAGTGAGTGAGGTGAAAGTGTCAGGATTGAGTGAAAATGTTGATAATGACCAGAGTAATAGTGACTCTGATGATTTTTATATTGGGTCATTAGTGAGGAGTGGTGATGGGCTGACGTCGATAGCTGATATCGTGTGGACCAAGGAAATAGTTGTGGAAGGTACAGCTATTGAATTTAAACTGGACACAGAGGCTGAAGTAAGTGTGGTTCCTAAACATATTTTAAAAAAGCATGGCATTAAGAAGGACATTAAAGAATCTCAAATAGCTTTAATTTCATATGGCAACCCTGATTTTAGATTTAAGCCCGTCGGAAAAGTCTCACTATTGTGTAATATTAATAACAAGTTGACATATTTACCGTTTGTTGTAGTTAATAGTCAAAATCAAATGCCTTTGTTGGGTTTATCAGGTTGCCTGGAGTTAGAGTTAGTTAAACGAGTTGATTCTGTTCATTAGGTTAATTAATAAGGGGGATTAGGTCAATTCCCAACTGAGCATAAAATTGTTCTTAAAGAAAATGCTAGACCCCAAATTCAAGCAGTGAGACGCATACCTCAAACTCTTCACAATAAAGTTAAATTGAAACTAAAAGACCTTGAGAATCGGGGCATGAATAGAAAAGTTGAGAAACCTACAGAATGGTTAAATCCCCTAGTAATAGTGTAAAAGAAAAATGGAGATTTGAGGTTGTGTCTCGACCCGAAATACTTAAATGAAAATATACAGCGTGAACACTTTTTAATTCCTACAGCCGACGAAATTGCTAGCAAACTCAGTAACAAAGTCATTTTTACAGTATTAGATATGAAAGATGGTTATTTCCAAGTCAAGATTGATGATCAATATTCGGATTACTGCACTTTTGGTACACCATTTGGTTGCTACCAATTTTGTCGGCTGCCTTTTGGTTCGAGTTCTGCCCCAAAAGTTTTTCAGAAGAAAAATTTTGAGCTTTTTGATGACATTGATGGAGTAGAGATTTATTTTGATGATCTGATTATTTCAGGTAAAACAGAGGCTGATCATGATAGAAATTTGAAGCGCGTTCTTAACCGAGCCGTCAAATATAATATTACGTTTAACCAGGACAAATACAATTTAGATCAAAAGAAGTAAAATTTCTGGGACAGGTTTTTTCGAAAGATGGTGTTACAGCCAGTAAATCTCATGTTAATGCCATTTTAGAAATGCCGAATCTCCAAAATAAAGCTGATCTCTTAAGATTGCTTGGCATGGCTTAATTTTTGGGTAAGTTTATCCCCAATTTGTCGAAAGTGTCTGCGCCCCTCAGAACCTTGACTAGCTACGATGTGGATTGGGAGTGGGCCAGCTACAGTTCTGACGAATCAAGTGCCGGTAAATTTCAAAACCCGGCTCTTGATTTCTTCTAAAAAAAATCTAGTGATGAGTGATTAAAGAGCCCAGTTATGATCGAAATATTTTCCATCTTAATTCTATACGTGATGACTTTTTAGAAACTTCATCTTATACTTTTGATAAAAATTCTGTACAAACTAGACCATCTCTAGCGAGAATTTGCCTCAATTAAAATACAATTATTTTACGTCAAAACTTCAAAATGAGCTTCGGGCGATTTTAAAGAAATCTCCAACCCGTCTGCCGGCACGTATATCTAAGTAAAATGTGAATTTAATCTATCGTAAGGGCGAGTTTGCAAAAGAGCCCTAAGTGCACGAGCCGGTTCCAAAATCGTTATAGAAGGGCCTCGCCAGTGCGTAAATAATCCTAAATGTTCGCTTCTGCAATTGATCGAACTGTTAGAAATGCCCTCCGGGAAGGATAAGGGATGCCTCGCCCTAATAGGATAGTAGATTCGATGTGAAATGATTACCAGGGTCGAACTTGTTAATAATTGCCACACATGTCTGGGCTTGTATTTGAAAAGGGTTTTTAGGGGAGTTTTGTTTCAAAGTTTTCTATACCGTGTTAATTGGGTATAGTGGCAAGTTTCCTAATTTTGCCTTGCAGTTGCAACTCAATTTTGTCTTATAGAAACCAGAAAAAAGATGAGATAGGAAAGGAAAACATTAGTACGAATCTGTCACTATAAAATCTGCATTTTGTTGGCTGTAAGAACAAACAATAGAAAACTAAGATTTTTTAAAGCAAATCAATTTTCTGTAAAACTAAATACAAAGCGTGGAGAGGATTGCAAGGAAACGTCTACGTCATCTTATTTCTATTCCAGTCTCTAATCCTCATATAATCAAGAAATTATACTCTAATCTTCAGAATCAAGAAAACATCAACGTGGAAAATACATAAATTAAATTACATCTAAAATAAATCGCCAGTACGTTCCTGTTTTACGTACATCAGTGGAACATTGCTTGTTCACTTTCGCCGAATCCCTCCACATCCCAGGATTGGCCTATTGATTTATACTGTCTTGTCCGGTTTCGTATATCTGTTTTTGTCCCTTTCAAAGAGAACTAACTAGATCATTCTGATGGACTTGAAATTACAGTGTAAAGGGTAGCATTTTTTTGAAATTATGCTGGTGAAATTGCCTGACAAATGGCAATCTAAATTATTAGCTCAATGGTCCGTATAGTAATAATTGATTTAAATTGGAACAATTACTGTAATCATTTCTAAATTCTCTTTACGACATTAAAGTACAATGCATTGTTTTATTAATTATTACGATTCGGTTATTAGCTACAGATTTTCAGGCGGGTAATTTTACGAAGTACACATGATAAACTACATATTATTTCTAAAGAGAGTAGGTAGAATACCAAAAATTCCTTTTGTATTGTAACCGAAAAATAAGTCAGGCAAAAAGTTGAAAAATCATCCCAAATACATACTTTTTATTCTCAACACGTACCGGGGATATTTGTCTAAATACGCCCGCACAATACACTAAAAAGCCTTAGAAATAATTTCCCATAGGGTCCCCGAGCGGAGGAGAGTTGGCAAAATAAAAACCCATGAAAAAAAAAAGTGACATCTGCCAGCCTGGCAAACAAAGACTCAACAATAAACTTTTTATATTAAAAATATTTCTTGCTTTTCGTGCTTGTGTCCGATTTCTGTTTCACAAAATCCTATGCAATAACATGTCAAATGACCGACAGAGGAAAAAAGATGAAAGTGACAGGTCTTGGGCGAGGGATCGAAAACAATCTGACCTTTGAATCAATACAAAGAGATCACTTATTGCGAATGGAAGACAAACAAATCCTATTATGTTTTCTATTAGTTGATGAAAATTTTCCACTAAAACATTTCCATATGTAGATGAGTAAACTGAGTATATTAATATGAAGTGCATTTTTTTTTTTAAATTAATTTAAGTTCTTGGTAGGTACTTTAGGATAGCAAATCCCAAAATATTTGTGCATGCATCAAAGGGTTATTTTGTTTCAGCCTAAGGAAGATAAAAGTTATAAGGAAACGTTGACGTAACTAATAATAAAAGGACAAGTTCTGCTTTTTTTTTGTATCCATATGCCTGATAGAGATAGAGATCATGTAATGTGTATAACTTCTAGCAAGTGATAAGTATTAACTTCAATCTAAGAACGTCTGCTGCATTATTTTGAGAATTACATATTTCACTTTTTATTTTTATTATTTCATGATTTTTCTAATGAGTACAAAGCTTCAGTCTATGCCTCATTAATACATAAATTGTTTTATTTTTTTGATTACTTTTAATTCTCTTCATAATTTCCTTAGTTATACCCATTTATATTTATGTTTTACTTCAGTTTATTTCAAATGATGTCGGTTTTTAACCGAAATTTTGAGGATATTTGATATTTTCACTTGGTACCTGCTCTGAAAAAATATATCTACCTACCTAAAAATGTGTATAATTTTTGAGGTACTTACCAAAATCGTTTGAATTCGCGTGCATTCCGGATGGTCCAGGCATAAGTCCACTTAAACCTAGAAGAAAATTATCTATTGAGAAAAAAAAACACAAATTAGGAAATAAGTTAAATACAAAGTTAAAATAATAAAAATAATTGGCACAAAGGAAAAAAACATGCTTAAAGTAAACAAACTGAAAACGATTCTTCGATATGAGATAATTCTCTTTCCAGAGCCTTATCAACAAGCGTAAACTCTCGATTATTTCAGACAATTTACGCAATACTCGGCATATCAGCTCTCCTCCTTCCTAGACGTTCTCTATCCTCTGGATATGGGCCTCTTTCAGATTTTTCCAGGAATTTCTATTCTGTGCGACCTGGTACCAGTTCAGTGCTGCTGTTCCCTTAATGAGTTCGTTGTTTAGGGCTGCCTTCTGCGTTCCCCCAAGGGTCTCCATATTGTTACTTTTCTGGCTCAGTTCTATTTGAGGGTGCATATTCTATGTGTAATGTCTTCGACCTTTTGTTGTATTCCTTATCCACTCGTTGGACTTGTGATCCCTTAGTGTAATACCTATCATTCTTCTCCCGATTCTCTGATGTACTTATTTATTTAGGATTTTTTTTGTCAGAGTCCATGTTTCGCTTCCATAGGCAACATTGAGGTGGAATAGAAAAGGAGACGCTGTTACCATTTGAATAGTGCAATAGATAGGGTTATCGGTAGGCGTGGCTAAGGGCACCAACAATATGGCTGCTTAAACAGAGCCGAACTAAATTATTTTTTTATAGATTTAATCTAAAAACGTAAAAAATCTACATTACCCCAAGAAAGAAAAAGTTGCTACAAAAACTTCAACATACTGAAACAAGAGATCCTTCCAAGACCCAAAACAGAAATTCTGCGCTTCAAAAATATTCCGCATTCAAAACATCTTTGGACGAAAAATGCGATGCATTACTGTTACGTTGCTATGACAAAGTGACACACTCTCAGACACATAAGCACTAACAACATGGCGGAAGTAGGAACACTTTTTTCTCGTCATTTCGCCTCCCTATTATTCTACCTCAATGATAGGCAACTACTGGCAGAATACATTTGTTGTAGACTTTGGTTTTCAGCTTCAAAGGTAACTTGGACCACAATATGTAGCGGATCTTACCATACGCCGCCCATGTCCCATGTCCCTATCTATTTGCTCATTTGTTAAGTATAAACTCTATTTTTGATATGTTCATTTCTATTCCGATCTTCTTGGCTTCTTGGAGTAATTATACTTTCAGCATGATTTGTTACGTTCGGCGAATCTTAAATTATTGCGGTTTTCTCCAGATATGATCCATCTATTTTCCCAATGAAGTTCCTCCAACACATCTCTCCGAGGAGTAGGGTGAACAGCTTAGGTGATATTATATCGTCTTGTCTTACGCCTCTTTTGGTCTTCCCTTCGTTTGTATCTTCATACATTCCTAATTTTATTTTTGTTTCTTCTTGAATATTTTTGATTATGTTTATATATCGCCGATCTATTCGTGCATTTCTCATAGCTCTTTTTATCGTCCAGAATTTGACAGAATCAAAGGCCTTCCTAAAATAGATGGATGCTAGCCATTTTTATTGTGTGAAGATGTTCATAATGCTGAATGCTGTATTCCTGCTTGTTCTCTAGGTTGGTAATCATCGAATTTCTTTTCGAGGCGGTTGGTGATTATTCTCATAAATAGTTTGTATATCAGAGGCAGGAGGCTTATCTATGGGTCTACACATACATAGGTATACTATACTGACGTATACCGCTCAGAGACGACTGCGCATCTTTCTGCGCATCGGAATAAGATAGAAGAATCAGCCATTTTGACCTATGCTTTGACATTAACGAAATATAAGTCACAGATGACTGTAATAGGTGAAAGAATTACTCTTTCAGCATAATTTCTGAGTCTATTTCGTTCGGGACGAATATTACAATGTCAGCAGCGAATCTTAAATTATTGAGGTTTTCTCCAGATATATTGATCCCTTTATTTTCCCAATGAAGTTCCTTGACCACATCTTCGAAGACTAGGTGATATTTTATCACCTTGTCTTAAGCCTCTTCACTTCGTTTGTATCTTCATGTATTCTCAATCTTATTTTTGTTGCTTCTTGAATATTTCTGATTATATTTATATTATACATATATCGCTGATCTTATTATTCATGCATTTCTCATAGCTCTTTCTATTGCCCAGAATTCGACAATGTTGACGGCTTTCCTAAAAACGATAAATGCTAGCCATGTTGTAATGTTATATTCGGTCGTCTTTTCATTTAGTATTCTTATTGTGCGAAAATTTTCTATAGTGCTGTAGCTCTTCCCCTAGGGCCTGCTTATTCTCTAGGTTGGTAATCATCGAATTTCTTTTCGAGGCGGTTGGTGATTACTCTCATGAATATGTAGTTTGTATATCTGAGGCAGGAGGCTTATCTATGGATCTATAGCTATTATTATTTGATAGGTCTCCTTTTTTGTATATCAAAACAACGATGGCAGTCTCCCAGCGTCTGGTATTTTCCGCTCTGTTAAACATTTATTGGAAAGTGTTTTCAGTTGTTCTACAAGGAAGGTATTCTCCTGCCTTCTTCAGCATTTCTGGTAGAATATTGTACATTCCTGGGCTTTTCCGTTGCCTAATTGGCTTAGCGATTTTGCAATTTCTAGAATGTGTTTATCGCAAAGAGTTGCTCTCTTTCTAAGAAGTTGATTAGCATGTTGCCTCTTTTATTTCTTGTACCATGTCCGAGTTTACTAATGTAACATGAGTCAGAGAGGGTGCTAAGAATCCCCCGGTCGTCCAACGATATCTTCAAAATAAACCGAGAAAAGAAAATTTGCACCTGGAACATGCAGAGTATGTACCAGGCTGGAAACGCCTGTAAAAGAGGCGAAACTACTACAGATCAACATACTGGGAAGCAGCGAGACAAGATAGCCAAACTCAGGACACTGCATCGTAAATGAACACTACCTATACTTCTCCGGAGATAGTTCTACCAGAAACAAAAATGTAGTTGCGATAATTCTTGACAAGGAAACCGACGAAGCTGTGAAAGGATTCATACCAATTTCGAGTAAAGTGGCACTAATCGAAATGAACGCAAAACTTTTCGACATAAAAGTTATACAGTTATATGCTCCACTGTCGGAAAGCAGTGAACAAGAGATAGAAGAGTTCTATGAACAGCTCAGAACTGCTCTAAAACACATAAAAAGCGAAGAAGTTAACATAATTCTGGGAGACATGAACGCTAAGGGTGGACAAGGAAAGATCGAAGATGTGGGGAGAGCGCCTAATGGAATTCTGCCAAGAAACAGACTGCACATGCATGAATACCTTTTTCAAGCTACCTCCCACTTGGCGTTCTCCGGTTGACAGCAATCATAATAGGTCTGTTTCCACACAAATCACAAACCAGTCAGAGTGTTTTTTGATTGGTCCAAATCGCCAACAACCCAGTTTTCTGACTATTTTCAACCAATGAAATTCTCTCTGACTGGTTTGTGATTTCTGTGAAAACAAGCACGCGTATATAAAAGACTCGACGAGAACGTGAGTTACACCCAATTCGGATTCAGAAAGGGACTGGATACTAGAGAGGCTGGACTTCGACAAAGTTCAGCATAGTAAACTTATCTTAATCCTTCGTGAATCAGGAATTGACAAGAGAGATACAGAAGCGACATCAAAGCTCTACCTTCAACAAAGGGCCATGGAACGAATAGAAAACGAAACATTAGACGAGTTTAGCGTAAGAAGAGGAGTACTTCAGGGTTGCATACTGTCTTATTCAATATATAGGAGGATGCCTTTTGGTCTATCTAATGCCCCTGCAACTTGGCAACATATAGTTGACACTATTTTAGTATATTGAGCTTCGGCCAAACTTCAAGGTATATCTGGATGATATCGTCATAATATGTAACTCGTTTTCTTTCAATGAGATAAAATTAGGTCAACCTCCAAGGCTTGGGTTTTTGAAGATAGGTAGATTCCTTTCTAAAGTCTGTTTCAGGCGTATCAACTATCAACGAATGAAACGATGGATCTGTAACTCTGTAACCTCTGAACCATAATTTTGTAGCACATGAAATGGCAACTTTTTTTAGGTTTTCTTCAGAATCACCAACTGCAACCTCGAGACCTATTTTTTGTAAATGTGTAATTTTTGAATAGGTTATTTTTCTAGGCCTCCCTCAAGGCTCACCAGCAAATGTTACCATGGGCTGTGACTTCAAAGTCATATGTTTTGGTGGTTTTCTAATTCCGTTTCGGCTTTACACGACCTAGGTCTGTTACACCTCTTCAATATAACAGTCAAAGTCGTCGTCTATTTTTATTTTCTGTCACCTACGTATTTTCAAAACAATCCAATAGAGGTCTACAAATTTTGTCGTGGATATATATTAGATATATCTTCAACTACCGATCTCACAGTTATTCGAAGCAACGTCCTTTATTTTTGAGTGAGTTGCGATCTTTATTGTGCTTGGATGTCAAATGGAAGAATCGTTCGCACCACTTTTTCTTGAAAAATCTCCTGGAAGGCTGGTGAATTTGATGCAGTTCAATTAAGAGTCTGTTTACCATGTTTCTGAAGAGTGGAGATTTTTGAAGTGAAACTTCTTAGGCGGCGTTCTGATATTTGGACGACAATGAAGAGTGATTTGAAAAACGCGTCACGGGCAAATTTCGTTAGTCGAGAGAGATGAAAGATATAACATAGAGAGACGAAAAGGATTTTTGAACAACCAACCGTTTGTAACCGTGTTATAAACGGTTACTGAAAGGCTGAGTTCGGCTTTACACTCTGTAAACTCTGAGCGCGCTCAAAACGATAAGATCCTGTTCGGTATAGCTCTCAGAGTCAAGGTTGTTTAAAAGAGCGAGGTTGCCTGATAACTTTTATGACATCATCTATATGCCTCAACATAATGCAAAACTCCATAAGGCACCCCAGATGCGTCATCAAGTAACCCATTACCAGACAGCAACTTCAGAAACCTTGTCCCGGAGTGTTCTCTTTTGCGT